GCTGCATGGGCTGAGGAAGTGAGGCATGAGAGCATGTCAAGGTGGAAAAGACAGAGGGTGTCCAGAGCGGGTGGGCAGAGGAGGGAAGTGATGAGAATTGTTAATTTTGGGAGCATCCCTCAGCAGCAGAACACAGAGCAGCACCCAGGCTCAGAGCACGGGGTGGTCCGGCCGTGCCAGGGGCAGGGAATCGCGGTTTGGGAGCCCGGTGGCAGCGGGGATCGCGATTTGGGAGCCCGGTGACAGCGGGGATCGCGGTTTGGGAGCCCGGTGACAGCGGGGATCGCGGTTTGGGGGCCCGGTGACAGCGGGGATCGCGGTTTGGGGGCCCGGTGACAGCGGGGATCGCGGTTTGGGAGCCCGGTGACAGCGGGGATCGCGATCTGTGCTGCTCTTTCCGCAGCGGGGCCGTGCCGGAGCCGCACCGCGAGAGGGAGACGGACACCTCTGCGCACCCAAACCCGGCCCTGGCACACTGAGAAAAGCCCTCTGGCTTTCTCCACAGGGTTTGGACAGGCCAAAATGCAGGGAGAGAAGCTTCCCATACCAGCTCGGCCGCTGGGCCACTCTGTATAAACACAAAATTATTTCCCTCGGCAAACAAGTCCAAGGTTGTGACAGACCCTGCACCGCTCTGTGCTGAAACAGATTTTTCCACTCTTCACTCGCTCATAGAAACAAGATGATGAAAAGCAGAGTGGCCACCGATGCTTATAGGGGCAGATTTGCTTCTCCAGCTACCCTGCTCTGGCACAGGTCARTCCACAAGTGACCACAGGAGCTGTGTCCTCAGCCAGGACATGGGCTGAGCACCACTCTCCCTCAGTGACCATCTCCCACTCCTGCCATACTTCCATTTCCACTGCCAGCCTTCCAGACACCTCCAGAGGAACCACAGACTGGCAATAATTCTGGAAGTGAAACATCAGTTTGGTCACAGTCAGCCCAGATGAGCTGCAAAGGTCCCTTACCTCACTGCAGCAAATTTGGAGCATCAYCTCACTTTGATGCTGTCTCCCAAAACATCCTGACAAATTAATGAAGCAAGGGCTAGATAAATGGACAGAAAGCTGAACTGAAAACTGGCTGAGTGGCTGGGCTCAAAGGGTTATAATCTGTGGCACAAATTACAAGAAGAGGCCAGCCATTAGTGGTGTAACCCAGGTGGAACAAGTTAAACTCCTTAATTAATGCCCAGGATGTTGAGGCAGAGTGCACCCTCAGCAAACCTGAGAGAGGCACAACACTGAGGGTAGTGCTGGGTGTACCAGAGGGTTGTGTTGGCATTCAGAGGGTTCTCAGCAGGCTGGAAAAATGAGCTGACAAGAACCTCATGAAGCTCCAGAAGGAGAAGTGCAAAGTCCTGCATCTGGGGAGGAACAATCCCAGCACCTGTACGTGCTGGTGGCCATCCAGCTGGACAGCAGCGTGGCACAAGAGGCTCAGAGGGTCCTGGTGGTCACCAAGGTGACCACAATCTGGCAATGTGTCCTTGCAGCAAGGAACATCTTCCTGGGCTGTGTTGAGGGAATGTTGCCAATATTTCCAGGGAGGGGATCCCTCCCTTTAGCTCACAAACACTGCTCACATCTCACACACCCACACCCCAGTCTGGCAAAGGCAGACCAGGACTCRGGGTTCAGCAATCTGCAAAGCTCCATGTATGGATTTACACCTTTTTAAAGCACTTGTTGGAGCCCCCAGAGCTGATGGAGCTCCCTGTGCAGAACTAATCCCAGCAGCAAAACCTGAGCCAGGAGCGCAGCCAAAACCAGCAGYAGGAGGCAATCTGCGACCAAGTGCTTTCAATGCACCTCTTCAAGGCCACTGAGCCTTGACAGAGGAGTAAAGCCAGGGTGTGTGAAGCTGAATTAGGGCCTTTAGGATCTTTTCTGGCACAGCTGACCAGTTCAAGGTTTGTACCCAGCTGATGCAGCCAGASAGTTCCTGCCTGGCGAGCTGAACCAGTCAAGGATTGTTCAGCATTTTCCTGGCGCTGGGTCTGGTTGAGATCCAACCACAAACCCTGCTCTGGCTGTGTCCAGCCCTGGGCTTGGTCCAAGGGATGTTCTCAGAAGCACCTTCCCACAGAGCACAGAAGAAGGAACACATCAGCACAGATCTGATGGGGTAGGTCACGGATTCAAAACTCCTGAATCATGCAGAGCTCAGCTGTCAGACAYCAAGCCCAGCTGCCTTCTCCTCAGCACCAAGTGGTCTTCACACACACCTGAAATCAAGAGGCAGCTCTCTAGACCCCCTTATTGCTCACTTGGCACACATTTACATGGTCACCCATGGTCCAGGTAAATGTCACAGCTCCCAGGCAGGGGACACCTGACAGCCACATGGCACATCTCAATCCTTCTGCCCAGGAAAGGGCATTGCTGTTTTAGCCTCTGACCCTGAACCCCAAAGGGTACCTGGACCCTTGAGTGCCCAGCACGGGAGGTCAGTGATGGGTGCCTGAAATAGCACTGAGTTACACCTGGGAGGTTTTCTGTCATTCCCACATTTCTGTAGAATCAATCCTGTACAGAGGGAATCTCAGTCCCCAGGCACTCAGGAGGCATTCTGCATTTCCAGCCTGGGAAAAAAAAAAACCACCTGGGATGCAGGGATTCTGTCACATGGCGCTGGAGATCCTCCCTTCTCTGCCTCCAAACCAGACCAAGCTGCTGCCAGGGACCTCATTCCCACGCAGGCATCAGCCCACTGCGATCCTGTTACTTATTAACCAGCTCCGAYAATCTAACAATGCACCTCTCCAAGGCATTCATCACTGACCTGCCAGCCATTGGCTTTTTTGTGTGTCACTCCAACCTGTCAAACACCTCATTAAGGCACCAGAATCAGACAGA